AATTCGATTTTAACAATTATGCAATATTATATAAAGTGAATGAGAGATCAGATTAAATAAATTAAAAGAAATTTTTACCAATAGGACGAAAATATTTCCAATAAAAAAGTAAACCGTTATCAAACGACGAGATTAAATCAAAGTATTGATGAGTGTTGATTATAAAACTAAATAATATCATACCTATATCTTAATTGCTTACTGCTAATTTGTTGAACAACTATATTTTGGCTTCGATGATAAAAAGAAATCATTCGTTGTGGAAGAAAGAAAAAAAAAAAAAAAAACATGATAAACAAGTCGCGAATGAAGCATTAAAAAAAAAAAGAAAAAAAAATCAAAAAACTCGACTTAAAGACTTTTAAATTCTTCAGAATTGCTTTATACAGTCTTATTTAATTCAACGTTCCATTTCGCTTTACTCCGTGCGATGGATGAAAAGTTGACGGACTGTCCCCTCGGGATAATTAAAGTCCGGAGCGTTCGAATGCAGTGAAGGGGTGGGAAAAAGGGGTATTAATGGAATTTATAATGGTCTTTTTGTCGAGGCATTCCAAACTTGCGGACCACTCTTGGCTTCTCTCTCTTTCTCTTTCCTACTCTCTCTAGTTGCTTTCTAACACATATATACACGCATGCACACACACACACACACATATAACATTCTTTTTCTTTCTTTGTCTTACACTCTTTCTTTCTCACTTATTATCTTTTTTGCTCTCCCTTTTTCTATTTTTTTACACATTTTTTCTCTCTTTCCTTCTCTCTCTCATTTTCTCATTTTCTCTCTTTAACTTTCGCTTAGTCTGGGTGAGTTTAGTACGGTTCTCTTTCTCTTTGATTCTCTCATTCGTCCAGTGAACATCTTCAGACGAGGATATCCGTAGTGATTTGAAATGCGATGGCGGTGCTCCTTTGCAGTTCCGTGCCCGACAGAGCGAAATAATGGACTATCGGACGAGCTAACACGGAACTTATATTCTCGGAATTTGTTAGAAACGTCTAAATGTACGAATAAAGGTGTGATAAATAAACTCTTTACATTTTCATTTTATTTACTTTTACGAAAATCTATTTCTCTCTCTCTATATATATATATATTTAATTTACAATAAATTAATAATAAGCCGTTGTTCGGTTTTCAACTGTAACTCGACACTTGTTATCTTTAAAAAAAAAGAAATGCATTAATTTATCGATTAACCGATGCAATAATAATAATAATAATTGATAAATGATAATAATATAATATAATAACTGATATTATATCTTTCGTCAGAGTTTAATAGAATTAGGTTAATGAATAAGAGATTCATGATTTCCGTCCGATTGGAGTTCCAGAACGCGCTATTTTACGTCCACTGTGTGAGATCCTCTAATAAAAGAGAACCTTGGCTCTTGGAGTCGATCGTTATCCAAGCCGGAAACTTTACAACGAACTAGTTTGAAACTTTTAGCCGGTCGAACTGCATTCTGAGAAAACAAAGTGTATCCCATGGATCGAAGAAAATCGTTACCTCACCCGAAACCCGTTGCACCGTGAAGCTTTTACAAAAAGAAGAAGAATAAGATGAAGAAGAAGAAGAAGAAGAAGAAGAAGGAGAGAAAGGAAGAGAAAAAGAGTGATAGAAAGAGAGAGAGAGAGAGAGAGAGGGAGGAAAGAAAGTAGAAACTTTTGCCTGCGTAAACGTATTTGTAAAAGCCAAGGAAGAGTACTTTACGATGTATCTTCAAAACTTTCTCGATCATCGGATTAAATAACTTTAAGAAATTTTAACTTGTACGAAATAAGATCACACGTTTTTAACGTATTCTGCGTAAGGAACAACAGGATCCCATTTAACATTAAAGAAACTTTAATATAAGCTTGGATACATCATTTTCTTGACCTAAATATTAAATATTATTACTAAAAAATTATAATACATATATATATATATAAACTATAGTTAAAAATAACAATTAAAATAAAAATTTTCCAGGGCTTTTAAAAAGTTTAAATGTAACTTTGACGATAAATAAAAGCACATTATATTGATATAGGAAAGAAAATATATTTATATCTGATAAAAATTATTAACTATACATAGTGAAAATATTAAAATGAGTTTTTATACGATTCATTTTATGATATAGCGAATTTTTAATATGAGACAAATCGTACGATTTGTTTGTTTTTTCAATTTTTTAATTATCGTAATTATCAACACACAGTTCTCTATTATATTATCAATTATATATAATAATATTGAAGAAACTCAATTGCAAATTTATATGACATTTTATAATTATCAATGTTTTCTAGATTAAGCACTCTTACATACAATCCTACGTATAAGCACACAAATATTTACTTCTTAAAAACTCAAAATATTTCAATTTCGTATTTGTAAATGTACTAAAATTCCGGTGATGATTACAAGGACAACAATTTTTTATTTCATCATAACGATTTCAACTTCATTTCTTTTTTGTATCCATCATTATTGTTTTTTTTTTTACAAATCATTCTGATAAAAAGATACAAGAAAATATAGTAAATAAATTTAACGAAAAAGTTACGCTTATTCGATGTTAGAAATGAAAGACGACAGTAGGAAACTACGATCTGGCGCTGACAAATTTGTTTTCGTGCTGGCGATAAAGGAACTTTGCCGTTCCCTCTTAAAGAAAGTAGCTCACAGTACGTTTATCTCACGACAAAGGATCATTTCTGTCTGTTTCTTCTACTTTGTGTCTATGGTTTCATGATATAGCGAGGGACACTGAAAATAGACAGAGAAAAATCGTCGATCTTATTTTCAAAAATACGTAAATCGTGAATAGTAAAATCTAAAAACCTCGAAAACATAACAAGTATATTTTATGCACTCATGTTCATATATTTTAAGTTCATGATTAATATACTTTTATCCCTATATATGAGTGATTCAAAAGTAACTGCGGCTAAATATAAAAAACAAAATAAACTGTGTGCGTAAATTTTTATCATGAGATAAGCGACGGGAGGAAAGAATGAGATAAAAATGAAAAACACATCTGAAAAAAATAACTCGCGAAATAAATTTAGACACATGTGCGCGAATTATTCAATATGAGGTATTAGTATAAAAAACCCAGGAAAAGGAATTAATAGAAACTAAGAAACGAAAAGGTCAAAGTGAAAAATTTTATTTCGAAACACGTCTTACATAAGAACGAATTCGCAAGGAATCTTAAATTAGCATTGATTTTGAAAGTACTACTAAAATCCCCACCGGCTAATTTCCATCAAGATTATGTCCAGAGAGGTGGAAATTCTATTTAAAGAGAATAATTTTTACGTGTAAATTCATTTCAGTTTAGGTTTTATAAGTCTCAAATGAAGCATTTGTAAATTTAGTAAAGTCACTTACAGAAAGAAGAGGTCACTAATCAAAAATAACAACGGTCACCTAAGTAAGTCTTTGCTTCTTTATATCAGCCAATCTTAAACCGACTTTGTATACTTCTTCAGAGTAGTGAGCTCTCCACTTGGTAAAAACCGCGCTACGTAAGAATTAAAATCTATGAGTTTTGTCTATTTACAAAGAAAACTAAAAACAATTTTAGTACTACCTTCATTGTGTCCCAAAAACTTAAAACTTTTTCTTAACTCCTCGATAATTAAAAACCACAAAAGCATCGAAATTCGGGATATATATATATAATTCGCTTATTATCATCGATTTGCAATTTTTAAATCGTAATTTACTCTTTCTAAAAGAGAACCTACCTGATCCTGGCTTAACTCGGTGAACGCTAAGTGGATGAAACAATCTTAGCAACTATCGTCTTTTGCAACGAAATACTATTATTATTTCGAAGTAACAGAAAAAACAATTTTTCTCATATTTATCGAGAATTTATCGAGAAGGTATTATGGTACCGATTTATCGGTAACCAAATTTTTCGTTATTTACGAATAAGATTGAGATCGATAAAAAAGATTCGTATTCAAATATCTTACCATCGAGAAGTTCTCTCACATTTTTTTTTTCGCTATTACGCGCGACATTGTCGAAACAAAATATTTAATTTAATCGGGCCTAAATGAGTGGAATAATATATAAATTCCTGTAAAAGTTGCTAAGAGCTATTGTGTTATTCTGATAAAACATCTGAAGGAACTGTGCGACTAAATGTAAATTGTTCTAGCACATTAAATTAACATTTCAAGAAGATAAAAACAAAAATTTAGGATTTTATCTCGAATAATTAAAACTAAATAACACATTTATATAATAGTGCAAAATGAAGTTATTTCAATGTGACCATTAATCGATATACTTTATAATACTTCATTTAATGTATCTCGTCCATTTACAATAGTAATTATTTATTAGCATAATACAAAATCAAACAGAAGAAATGAAAAAAAAAAAACAAGATATCTTTAAGAAGAAACTATGTTTATAACATCGATTTACTTCCTCTTATCTTAAAAATTATGTGAATGATACATTGCAAATATGCAAACTAGTATTAATATGCACAAAATAAATGAATTGATAAAATACAGCTTTTTGTATTATTTCATTTTTACGTATTGAAGGTAGTTTTTAAACCTGCACAATATGCGATTTTGGTCTGTCTTTAATAACTTTCCGTTTATTCGTTTTTTTTCAGTTTTTGCTGAGACGTGAAAAATAAAATAACATTCTGCTGAGGGTTAACTTTCTATATATCCCATACTTACAAACGGAGCAAACCGAAGCCAGTATTTATAAACAAATTTAATTACTTCTTTTATTTATAGTTCGTTTATTTCAACATGGGATACATTACTACTGTTCTTGCTTCAACAGCAGTAATAATTATATTATTGTACGTAATTGAATATTTAATAAATAAATTTCGTGAATATAATATGGTGAAAAAATGTCCGGGACCTAAGGCTTATCCTCTAATTGGAAACCTATATATGTTTCTTGGTGATTTAAAAGGTATACTTTTATTTAATATTTACAATATCTATATTTATGCGACCACCACACCTTCTATTCAACGAATTTGTCTTACAATTAGATATAACTAATAAATTAATAAATTTATCTGGAATCTATTCTTCGCCGTGGGTACTGTGGGTAGGCCCAAAATTAATCGTAGTCTGTGATGATCCTGAAAATATTGAGGTAAGTTTTATCAAATTTATTGTGGACTTCTTTACAAACAATTTCCCCGAATTAGATTTTCTTTTATTTCGGCTTTTTTCTTATATAAATTTTTTATTTCTTTTTTAGATTCTATCAAAAAGTTCTAACAGATATGAGAAAAGTTCTCTATATGACTTTCTGAAAGATTTTTTGGGTAATGGATTAATTTCTGCACCAGGTAAACTATATATTCACATGTGTACTTTCCTCTCAATTAATAAAAATAAAAAACTATTTATACCAAACTACAATACTGTATTTTGTAACTATATCTTCCAGAGGATTGCTGTTAAAAATAGTTTTCTTATTTTATGATTGCATTTAATGTCCACACACCTACACATGTATATAAGAGGATCTCATTTTTCCTATTTTTTAATTATTAAATAAATAAAAAAAAAATATAAAAATTGTAATTAAAAAATATTGTATTTAAGCATCAATATGGAAAATTCATCGAGACATCTTAGATCCATTATTCAAAGAACGAATGCTCTCGACTTATATGGACTCAATAGAAAAAAATTCAAACAGACTAGCTAACATTTTAGAAACTACTAACGGGGAAAAAGTTGATTTCTTGCATTATGCACATTTATGTACATTAGACATAATATATGGTGAGATTTAGAAATTCTGAAAAGTTTAAAAAATGTGTATGAGCACAGTAAAATTTTCTAAAAATTGTTTTTTTTTATACTGATAGGTGGCCTATTGGAAAGTGATTTAAATTTGCAGAGCAATCCAGATTGTAAACTTATTAAATATATGTCAGAGTAATAATCAAATAAATATTCTTAAATTTATAATGTAATCTAATATTATTGCATATTTGTCTTCTTATTGTGAATTTTATTTTTATTTAGAATACTAGACATTGCTCTGCAAAGAATGATGAAATTCTGGTTACATCCAAGTATTATATTTAACAATTCATCTATGGGAAAATGGCTACAAGAAAATCTTTCACACTTTAATAAAGTAACAAACGAGGTATAGTACCAACAAATCATTATTGTTTTAAATTGTCTAATATTAAAAAAATATATTAGTTTGAAGTAAAATAATAATTTATTCATGCATATAACTTTTATTCGTTAAGATTATAAAGAAAAAAAAGGAGTCAATGAATGAAGATAACTTTACCCGTGAAGGAAAAGGTCCACATGCAAGTAAGAATAATCATTTTAAAAAATTATCTTTCAGTAATGAATTTATGGATAAATACCTCTTTTATAATAACAATCAATAATAGATTAATATTCTCCTCTAAATAAAGGAAAAGATACCAGTCCAATCCTAGACGCCATATTTAAGTCATTTTACGAGACAGGAGAATATTCGGAGACAGATATTCGTGATGAAATAAATACTATGGCTTTTGCAGTAAGAGTCATTTATTTATAAGTATATGAAATTTCTTTTCATTTATTAAAAGTAGAAAACAATTTTTATTATTTCTTAGGGAAGTGATACTGCCGCTAAAACACTTACATTTTTATTTTCAATGCTTGCCACGTTTCCGGACATTCAAGTACGCACAGATGGCACCGAAGCCTTATTAGTTATTATTTTTCAAAAATCAATTATATTTTCATACAAAACTTGAGTCATGTATTCGACTTTTTCGATTCCAGGAAAAAGTATACGAAGAGTTGTACGATATGTACGGCTCAAGCGATTCTGTAGATGTTCCTGTAACAATGGAAGATACTAAGAAAATGAATTATCTGGATCGAGTCATTAGAGAAACTTTACGTCTTTTTCCTCCTGTTCCAATTTTTGCGCGAACACTATGTAGCGATATTAGAGGTATTTTTACATGGAATGAAATATTTTTTGTTTATTCTTTTCTTCTGTTGTCCTTACTGTTTTATGTAGTAATAATATGTATATATTTATTTTATTAAGTGAACGAAAATGTGATAATACCAAAAAACTGTCAAGTAGCTTTTCCAATATTTTCACTYCACCGAAATGATAAATATTGGACCGATCCCTTAAAATTTAATCCGGATCGGTTTTTGCCAGGGAATTACAATCCTAAATGTTTTCTCCCGTTCAGCTTTGGGAAAAGAGGATGCCTAGGTAAGACCACATTTTAATGCATTCTTGAAATAGTATTCTATAAACAGATGACCTGCAAAGTATATGTTTATTTAATATTATTATTTTATAGGTCAAATATTTGCAATGATCGAAATGAAGGCAATAATTGCTGTTATATTGAGGAAATTTATTGTTCAAATAGACAAACCAGTACCAGTTGAAAATGTTAACCTAAAAATCGGCATAACTGCGCAACTAGGGGAACCTATTTTTTTGAGATTTAACAAGCGATAATGTTAATACTATTTGTCGATACTATGTTCCTAATAAAGTAATTGTAATAATTTAGTGTACAAACAAAAAATAAATTATAAAAACTAATTTTTAATTATGATATTGATATTTGTATTATTAACCATAAAAGATACAATATTACCGTTTAAAAAAAAAATAAACACGTAAGAAAAAATTATGTATTTAAACAGAACAACTGGAGTGAAACATATGTTACTTTTATTTTATTATTTCTTGACAGAATACATTGTATCTAATCTTCTCCAGTAAACACACACGCTTGTACGCGGTTCATTTTTAATACTCAACTAATATCATTTGTATTTTACCTTTTGCTAGAAGAATACTAACGATCTTAATAACTACGCAGTACACGGACTACACCGAATAATCTTCCAAACGAACAAGAAGAGCAATGTGTTTATAAGCTTGAAGACGAAACTCTTAATAGAATAAAAATAAAACATCAGAGTTTTGACAACAACAGGGGGAGAATTAAGAGATGTGGGTAAACAAAATATTAATTACCGAGATACTATTCTTTTGATTATTGCAACATTTCCTCGTTTTTTCCTTCGCAATTCTCATTCTTCTCTCTTCTGATGATACGTATTTAGACGTGTTCACGATTTACGTATGTGTATAGATATAAGAAAATTTATTGAAAATAATTTTTTTTCTGTACTGACAGAGAGTCATTTAGTGATTTTGATTTGGAGAGTAATCCGGATTGTGAACATATATGTCAATGTCATGTAATATATATGTATGTATATATAATTAGAAGAATATTTTTATATTTACAATATAATGAAATGTTATTTTATCATATATTTGTCTTCTTAATATGAATTTTATTTTTATTCAAAATGTTGGACATAACTATGACAAGAATCTTGAAATTTTTGTTACGTCCTTACATTATATTTAACAATTCACGTATTGGAAAAAGGCAACTGGAACATTTTTCACTTTTTGATAAAATAACGTACGAGATATAAATAAAAAGATTATTTTAATGAACTCTGAATAAAACTAAATCAATTTTAAATTTATATAATATTATTTATTATTCTTATATTATTATATAATATTATTTATTATTCTTTTTCTATTAATATATACATATATATATTTACATTATACATATATATAATTAATATATATATAAGTACTATTTATAGCCATGTATAGGAAAACGGCGGAAGCAAAGTTGTACACCTAATATATATATAATAACCAAAATAAAAATTTATATTCTATTGATTGCCATCGTTGTTTTTCCTTCTCTCTCCGAGAAGTCATATGAATTTTTGTCAAATAAAATTGCCATTTCTATTCCATTTACTGGTCTCCAGTATTGAAACGATATTATTGCGATATTGACGACTCTTTAAATTCGAAATAAAAACGCAGCCTCGCTATGATCAAATAGCATCGAGTCATTCTATATATCATACCTGTGTATAGGCAAAAAAAGGAAGAAAGAGAGAGTGAGGGACAGAGAAAAAGAGAGCATTGTCGATATTCTCTCGAGTGCGAGTTAATAAAGTTCGTGCGTTATTCGCGTATTGACGGCCCCGACCATTTTCATTTGGCCATGATTTTCAACGTTTGTAGTATATATACGTCCATCCGCTAGCCAGCACTACGGATCACGTGCCATTAGCTTTTATCCTGCTTGTAACGAACGGTACTTCGAATTGCCACCAGATATGTATGGCTTTCGATTCTGCACGAGAAAATAAAAAAAAAAAAAAAAGAAAAAAACAACCACCCTCCCCCCTCCCACCCGACCGACTCCTCCACCTCCCCCAGGAAAAAAGAAAAAGGTGAAAAAGATAAAAAAAACCTTGTACAAGTTCCCATCTCAAATTAGGGTCTCTTTCAAATTCAAAGCGCAAACCATTGAATACGATTTAACGAAACCTTACGAACAGATCCCGGATCGTTCTCGTAACGATATACATATGCATTAATTCGATAATTTGATCGATATTCGTTTTCTTCTATTATTCGGATAAAAATACTAACAATTGTTATTATTACTCGATAATCGTAATATTCTATATTAATTGATTGAGAATAAATTTAGCAGGATATATATATATATATATTATTTGTACAAATATGATATTTAAATATTTTTAATTTCCTTTCGTTTTCGGTTGTCCAAATATTTTCGATCGAAATAAAAGATACAATTAATAATCAACTACAATATAATAACAATTAATGAAAAAAATATTAATTAAAAAAAAACCAAATAAAAGTAAGGAAAAAAGAACCAAAAATAAACCAAAACAAAATCGTTATTTATTTTTTGGCAAATTTTAAAGACAGTCAAATAATTAATTCGTTTTAATTTATTGGGTTAGGGTGGTAGATTTCGATCGGGCGTCACGTTACCTTCGGCATGATTAACGTGCTGAAAAGGGGTGCTGCTTTTTTGCTATAACGTCGAGACCCGAATGAACGAATAGGATGCACCGACATCGACGGTACCCTTTTTTCTCTTCTTCTTTCAATCTTCTCTACTCTCCTCCTCTTTCCTACTCTTTCATTTTCTCTACTTTTTTCTTTTTTTTTTTTTTCTTTCCTTTTTCCTTTCTCTTTCTCTTCCTCTTCTTCTTCCTCATTCTCCTCCTCATCCTCCTCCTCCTCCACCTACTCTTCTTCTATCTCTCTCTCTTTTTAACGCGTGGCCTAGTTACCAGTGCAGAAGGAAGGAGCCAAGGGGAAAAGCGAAAAGTGAATACCAGGGAAATGTGATTCGGTCGAAGCCCAAGCGTTGTGGCTGCTGCAAGGTTTGCATTACCATTTTGGCTGCTAGCCAAGCCTGGCCACCGAACTCCACGGATATCCGATAGGAGATAAGGCCTTCACCTCTTTTCCCCGTTACTCTCCTCATCACCATTCCGTCTTATACTCGTGCTTGGATTCAGGCTGCGCACCCGTTGGATAAACACTCCCGCGAGAGACTAGACTCTCTATAAACCCCTTTCTCTCTCTCTCTCTCTCTTTCTCTTACTCAACAACTCCCACTCTTATTCCTACTCTCTCTCACTCACTCTTTCCCTCTCTCTCTCTCTCTCTCTCTCTCTATCTATCTCTCTTTCTCCTACTCCCCCCCCTATCTCTTTGCCACGCGCCCTGGGATTTCCGCAGATTTACAGGCCGAAATTTCCTTATCGTGATCGCACCACTATATGTAGCTATGTTTCAAACGCCTGGATTTAAGAACTTTCGAGGAAGATACTTATGAATCTTCTACTTTCCGACGTCATTCCAGTCGAGAGAACAATTTTACATAATTTTCGGATCTTCCTGTTTTCCTTTTTTTTTCCCCCTTTTTTTCAATGTTCTTTTTCGCTTTTTGCTTTTCTTTCCAGCCCCCTAACCACCACCCCTCCCCACTACTTCATCCTTCACCGCCCTATTATTTTCCTTCTTACAATTAATAATGTTGAATTCTTCACTTTGATTTTATCTTTCTTCTCGTTTTTGTTGTCTTGAAGATTGATTGGTAATGATACTATATAATATATTTATACATATTTATGGGGGAAAAGTGATCTCATCACCGCCTATGAAAGTTTTTCCTATTTTCCCTTCTTTTTTTTTTCTTTTTTTTTTTTTTTTACAATAAACACAATGCTGAATTTTCTTTTACTTCTATGATCGATTGGTAATGATAGAGTATTAATATTTTTGTGGAAATTCAAAAATATTTCTTAAAAGATCTTTGATACGTCAACGTTTCTCTCATTAAAAAATTATTGTCGGATTAGAAATTTTGCTAACCTTTCTTCTGTACAAATGTCAATTTCTTTTTTTCGTATCATCGTACGTCATTTTAATTTACAAAACAATTTCTGACACTATTTTTTTCAATGCTGTTTCTTTTCAGTTATCAATATTGATTATTAATTTGCATATGTTTATTTTCAAGACTAATCTAACAAAATGTATCCACATTTTCATATGATCAATGAATATGTTCGTACCTACTTTTCAAGTAATATTCAAACACAATACTTTTAACCATTGACAAAACAAAACAAAAATATATCTATTAAATCGATAACTTTTTAAACATCCAATTACTTCTTATAATATCAATTAGAATTCGTAATTAAACGATTTAATAATTCAACATTCTGATTAAATTTTCTAAGCAACCTAATAATAGATTAATACAGATATTCTCTTAAGAAACAATTTGGATTTAATACGATGACATTTGGATTTAAATGTCAGTACCATAGAAATGTCAAGATAAAAAATGTTCAACGTTATCGTTGAAAGCGGCCATGTTAGGCTCGCTAAAAGACGCAATTCTTCATTTATCACTTGTCGTCTTGCACCCTACGTCCCTATCCCTACCCGTTTGATTTCAATTTTTTTTTCTCTCTTTCTCTTTCTTTCTTACACATCATACACATACACATTTACCCTTCGCACATACTTTTACGTAGGCATCACGCGTCAAGTTTTTCCAAGCAGCAGGTCATAATCTTCGTATCCTTCCGTTTCTTCTCAGACTGTGACTAACGACATGCAAGAAAAGGACGTTCGGATGAAACTTTGAGAAGCAACTCGCCAAACGTTCCAATTTTATCGACGTCTTTCTCTTCTTATTTTCCTGAAATATTTATTATACCAACGCTAGACTTCGGTCTTTTTCGCAAAAAAATTTAAAATAGAACTTTATATTTAGCCGGGTTATGAATGTTTTATTTCAATTTTAATATGGGGATCATAAAGATTATTTTTACTCTTATTTAATATTTTATTTATAATTTTTTAAATTCGATTTTCAATGAAACGTGTTGAGAAACTTTTATTTCTGTTTTGTTTTTATTTGTACATTTTATATAAGTCTGCATTATTATTATTCTTTAATAATTAAAGATTTATATTGAATATTATTTTCATCCAATCAATCGTGTCTGACCTCGTTATTATATTTCTACATGGAAAATATTAAAGTTCTGTAT